GTCTGGTGTATCTGGGGCAGAGCATGCCGTAGGCAAGGCTGTGTTAGGGCAGAGGGGACCAGAGAAGCCACCAGGCTGGTGGGGATAAAGGAGAGGGAAGAGGGAGGGACTTGCTCAGGATGCACCAGACAGCCTGGTAGGCGCTTCTGGGGAGGAGGGAAATTGAGCCTCCTCGGAATCACACGGCCTTTGATTCCTAAGAAGCCTCAGATGAGAAGAATGAAATCAAACTGTCGGAAAGCTTCAGAATCGTATGAAGTCTTACAATCTTAGGATAATTGAATCATAGCATCTGAGATCCAGGTTTCTAAAATCACAGAAATTTTGAATCTCAGATTGGTTGAGTGTCAAAATCTCGGCCCCCCTCCTCCCGGGTATGGTAATGCGCACTCTGTTCAGCGCTTTGCACACATTATGTCCTTTCGTCTCCATGACAACCTTGGGAAGTAAGAACTATCACTTCACCTGATTTTCCAGATGAAGAAACCGAAGCTCAAGTGTTTGCCGACAGTCAGAGACCCCTGGCAGGCAGTGGGGCCAGGACTCCACCCAGGCCTCACAGCCTCCAGAACTCACACCTTCAGCCTCGTGGCTTCTCTGCCTCCTGCGAGGGCTCCATGCTGAGGGCTCAGCCATCGCCTCAGACACTTTCTCGTCGCGGGGGCCAAAGAAACCAATGCCCACATCTTAGAGGAGGAGAGGGTTATCTGGCGCAGTCCTTAGAGGATTCAGTCCAGTTAGCTGGCGGAAGGGCCTGGCAGGGGAAAGCTGCTTGCGTCATGGTGGTGAGGAAGTGGAGAGAGAAGGGAAGTCAGGGAAAGAGACGGACTCTTCCAGCCCTCCCACCCCCGCCTGCAGTGACGGCATCCTAACAGCAAGGCAGCTATTGGACTGATCGACAGAAGAGTCCGCTGATGAGTGTAGTGCCCCGTGATCTAATCACTTTGCACACGTATGAGAGTATTGGAAGACATTTTAGACCTAAACCATAACACCCACGCTCTGTGCACCCTTCCAGTGACAGGGAGCTCATTACCTCTCTTAGGTAATGGAGATCCCAACTTTAGACACATCTGTCTTTCTCATGGGAGCCACCCTTTAGTCCCAAATCTGCCTTAGGAGACCCTGCAGAAGATAAGCCTTCACTCAGGACCCCTGTAGGGAGAGGGAGCAGCCACTGAGGTGGGACAGTGACTGCACTGGAGAGGCGCAAGGGGTCAGGAAACCCCAGCCGCAGGCCCTCCTGGTGAGGGAGGGGGAAATTGGCTAGAGACACTGTGACACGTGGTAATGGAGTCCAGGATGCTGGGAAGACAGGGTGGCAGGGGGCGGTGGGGAAACAGGGAACTCGCAACACAGAAATTCAGTCCTCCACAGGCCAGAGTTACGGGGCCTAATGAGATTGGAATCGTAAGTGCTGTGCCTTTATTTCCTGCTATTTTCTCTGAAAACTTATTCTGCAGAATGTGCCCAGTGCCATCCATCCTCCCAGATGGCTTCCTAAGTGAAGCTGTTTGTTAAGTGGGAGAAGAAAAAGGAGATTGATCTGGAGGAGCAACCAGGCAGAGCTGCTGCACACCCCGGGGGAGGAGGTACAGCAGGAACAGTAAGGGGTGCGGGTACAGAGGGGACCCCAGGTGTGCCCAGAAAGGCACAGCTCATGGCCTCCCAGGACTGGGCCCGCAGCACAGCAGAGTCCACGTGACCAGGGTCCCCGGGATAGTTGAAGAGGGTCACCAGAACCCCCTGTATGCCCAGCACTTTTGAAGTCATTGGCCCCAAACACCCACATCCCTCTGTGGCAGGTACTGTGACCGTCCTCGGTGTCCTGCGGAGAAGTGAGAGGTGCAGACACTCACAGCGGATGCCAAGCTCATTTGGGCCTGGAGCCCAAGGGTGTCTAGCTCCAGATCCCTGGATCTTAACCAGGACGTCACTTAGTCTCAGGCTGACCAACTTAGAGCCTGTGGGCACGGGGCAGATGTGTTTGTGAAGGTCCTAGCCCACTCTCAGATGTTCTGGTACACAGCTGAGGTTAGAAACTGAGCTTTCCAACCAGTGCTTGTCCAGATGGAGATGGAGACCGGCTGGGGCGGGGGTGGGGACCTTCCCAGGTCCCCCTGCAGGTTAATGATCTAGAAGCCCGCCCCCCCGCAACCGGTGACATCTAAGGCTAGTGTTTTGGGTGCTGATGGCTACAGAGAGAAGAGAAGTCTGGCCTGGCCACTCACCTGCAGCATCCGGGGACGGCCTGGGAGGGTTCTCGTTTCTTCCTCCGCATCCACATCCTCTGGCCTCCTCCTTCCCCAGTGCAGCCCACTCCTCCTCTCTGAGCCGTGAGAGGCTGTGAAGGGTCACTGCTGTCCGGGGCTGCAGATGGTGAAGCCGTGTCAGAGGTTAGACCTGGATGGCGTGGAGGAGCAGGGACGGGGAGGTGCCAAGGGCAGGCCCGATGTCCCAGCAGAAAGCACAGAGCCCCTCCCCCAGGCCTGTGCTCCTCCAAACTTCGCATCACTTGGAGGGTGGCAATGTCCCAAACAGTGAGTAATGTTGGAAAATAACAGGTGTGCCTTCCTCACCAAAGGGCCTTGGCCTCTCCAGAGAAAGGGGTGTTTGCCCATTTTTCAGCTAGGCAGAGTGAGCCCATGTGGGACCATGCCAAGGTCTCTCCAAGCCAAGCAGAAGGGAGGGCAGGGCAGCCCAGGAGCTTACTGAGTTCATTGTCATCCCCAAACCTGCTCTTCCTTGTGGTCTTCTGTCCCAGAAAAGTCCCGTCACCTACACCAGGGTCTCAGGCTAAGAAGTCCTTCTCCTTCAACCTCCACCCAAAGCTGAATTAAGTCACTCCTGCCCTCACACCACCAACTGGACCAGGTGTCCCCTCTGCATCTGCCCTGCTCCAGAGGACACAACTGTGATGGGGCAGACATATCCTGTCCCGGTTTCATGGAGCTCAGTAGTGAGCAGACAGGAGGATGTGACCACCAGGTCATGGAGCTCTGCGGGGCTGAGGGCTATGCTGGGTGCAGGGACCTACTGGGCAGGGAGGGGAAGAGCCCAGCTGAGGGAGGGAACGGTAACCTTGCCAATGCAGGGACAGCTGGGTCGGGCCTGGTCTAAGCATAGGGATATCTGGGCTTCCCAGCTCTGAGGGGCAGAGCTCTGAGCACAGCTGCCTAGCATCTGCCCAGTGAGAATGGACCCTCCTGGGTGGATTCACCTGGCTGGGTGCTGCAACCCCTTTCCATCTCTCAAATCCTGCACTCATCTGTGGTTTTGGGATGGTTTTGGCCCCACACGGAGGGGCCCCCCACACACAAGGCTGGCCCCAGTGGGTCTTTGTGCTTCCTCCCCCTGACCTGCAACCACAGGCCATCTCTTTCCTTTTCCAGTCCCCCTTGTGGCCTGAATTACTCCCGCAACTTCCCTTCTCTTGGCCACAGACGTTTTCCCAAGAGCCCTAGGGACCAGCTTGTATGTGAACTTGTGTCTGAGAGCCGTGCAGCGACCCCCGCCCCAGGAACGGGGACCCGGTGTGCAGTGTTGGGGCAGCCTCACTCAGCCTCCCACAGCCTGAACACATGGGATGGTGGACAGGGACGCCGGCCTGGACAAGGAGGCCAGCGAAAGGATGATTGCCCCAAGGAGCCTATAGGACTCGGGTTGGAAGCTTGAGGAGTGGTCCCTGCCAGTCAGTTCCTGTGGTTCCCTCCGTGGTGGGGCTCCCTGGACCGGGATGAAGGGACTGGAGAGGAGTCAGAGCAGAGGAGCAGAGCGAGGGGCAGGAGACTCTGACTCCCCACCTGGGGCTGCCCACTCCAGCCTGCTCCTCCATCGTAGTTTTCAGGCTCCCAGAGACACCTGGGATATGACTGGGTGATGCTGTCACGGAGGGTCAATGCCACCCAAGGGGTTCTGGGGGAGCTAGGCCCCAAACAGGCTGCCGGGGAGAGCGAGTGGGCGATAAAGGGCCTGAGCCTGAGGAATGTGGCTGTCCTTGATGTCCTGGTCACCCGTGCAGGGACCTGTCTTGAGGAAGCGGTCAGGGACTCAAGTAAATAATTCTCCAAATGTTCAGCACAGCCGATGTGTGTGAGAAAAACCCCAGAATCCTCTGCGCATCTGACAGTCGAGGACAGTGTGGCAAATTACGGTGCAGCTAAATGAGGTACAATTATGAAGCTATTAACATCATGCTTTTGAGGAATTTTCAATGATGTGGGAAAGTGCTGATGATATAAAAAGAGCATTGAATATAGATAGGGTCCCAATTACATAATATTTCCATACACACAGAAAGAAAGATCCGATGATGACGGTGACAATGGCGGTGATGGCCCGGATGATGGGGTGATGAATGTGTATCTCACGAGCACTGACTGCGTGCCTAGATCACCACCCTTCACTCACTCGGCTTCGTAATGACCTAGTAGTCGAATGGGACTGGAGAGGGCCGGGCACATGCTCGGGCCGACGCCCCCCAGGGGCCCCTAGACACTGTTCACAGCTGCCCCGGGCCTGTGTGCGAGATACACAAAGCTGGTCCTGGAGCCCATCCGACCTCCAGGGCCAGCCCGGAGACCCCACCTGGCTGCTCCATCCCTGAGTTTATCCAGGTGCCCTCCGATGGCAGTAGGACAGGGACGGACAGCTGGTGGCTGCCTCGTAACCGGCTCTGGGCCCATTAGCACTGCCTGCACATCCATCACCTTCAGAGAAAAGCAAACACGGGGCAGGATCCAGGAACCATCACTCAAGAGCTTCTGCAGCTCGAGGCTGCAGTGCCTCTCCTGATTCGCTGATGAATTATTGAATTATTTTCCGTGAAACTGATTTCTGCCAGACATCCCCACCTGCCCCCCGTCACTGCCATTCCAATTCACAGGGCCTGCATTTCCTGTACCATATCCAGCCTCCCAGAGAACTCAGCAGCAGACTGGCAGGCAGGCGCTCCCTCCTGGCCAGTGTGCTTAGTCACACACCTGAAGGGAAATCGCATGGCACACCTGGGTGCCACCCTCCCGCCAGGAACCTGCAAACATCTCCCTGGCTGAGGCTGCTTGTGTGCTGGGATCGAGATGTTCTCAGAAATATGGTGCAGCAGCAGGAGCAGAGGAGTGAGGCTTCTGGGAAGGAGGATGTGTATTCCTGGCCCCACCTGGCCCTCCCCACCCAGTCTGCCTACACCTCCCTCCCTGGATGCTTGCACCCAGGCCACGCTGGTGCCAACTGCCTGGTTCATTCCCAGCAGAGTCTCTGGTGCACCAGGCCCCTTCCCAGAGCTGCCAGACTGCTCCACCTGTGCACACAGACTCTAGGGCAGGGCAGGTGCCAGCACCTCTGGGTGCTGTATTGGCCTCAGCAAAGCCTATGTCTTCAGCTCCACAGCTCTGAGCTCAAGAAACAAGAGAACCGAATCACAAAGAAGGAAGCTGCTACTGAACTAGCTGAAACCAGGGGCTGAGCTCCCGTGCAACTGATACTGTCACTGGGGTCCCCTGAGAAACAGGAAGCTCTCATCTCTGGACAAAGCAGACAGAGAGAATTCATAGGTTGGGGAGTGGGGAGCTGGGCTAAAGATCCCAAGAATAATTCCCCCAGTCAATGCCTGTGCGAAACTCAGGCTGCATAGGAGTCCTAGCAGCAGGCGAGCTGGCTGTAGGCCACAGAGTCTTTGCCATCTCGGTGCCGTCCGACATCTATCATGGGAAGAAAGCACCCTCCCTCTTGTGGCTGCCCATCCCACTGAGTGGTGGCTTTGAAATCCCTCCTCCCAGAAGCCAATATCCATTTGTTCTTTCATGCATTTGTTCATTAATCTTGAGCTCTTCCAGGCCTTGGACACACAGCGGCAAACACATTGTGTCTTTGTGGAGTCGATTTTTGCTGAGGAGAAAGACAATATGCAAAGAGATAGCCAGCCAATCCAGTAGTGCAAAAGACCACGAGGAAACAAGGGGACCTGGAGGCCAGGGGCAGTAGGAGTTGACACTGGGTCACTGTGGCCACCCTAGGGAATATCCATTCTTTTGCCTGACCTGTGACACTAGGCACACCTGTGCTAGGAAACTGTGGTTCCCGAACCCACCCAGGACATGCATCCTGGGAAAGGCTACCCATCTCCTGGACCCTCCCAGCATCCCACGGGGTCTCCTCAGCCAGCTGAGGCAGGCTGCTGGGACTGCCTTGGAGCATATGGCTACCACAGAAGACAGGGACCCCCCCAGCCAGCCTGGGCCCTGCATTTAGCCACAAGCTGAGCATTTTAAAGTTAATTGGCTTTGCAATTAACAGATGCAAAGAACAGCTAATGCAATTAATTTTACATAAATGTGTTTGGGAATGAGGTGTTCCGTCCTCCCAACCCCCACCCTCTTAAACAGAGCCTGAGCTCACTTCCAAACAGGCCGCTTGGCTTCTCTGCTGCAGTCTGGGCTGCAGTGCAGCTGGTCAGGGAGAGTTCCTCATCCTCCTTCCATTCTTGGGTGTTCTGTGCCTCTCACAGGGCTCTGCCGAGGACCCTGATTTAGGAGTAGGGGTGATGTTTTCTGTCTTACAGATGAGGCTAGAGAAGGTTGGGGGTTTACCTAAGGTACCAGGCCAGCCAGGCAGAGGAGAGAGTCAAGTTGCAGGCTCTTTCACTTTGTCCTCACTGCCGCTCCTGTCTCACTGTGCCTTTAGGCCAGAAAAGACCCTGGGCTGGGAGAGAGCTGAACTCCTCCCACTGTGAGGAGCGGGTGGCCTACTGCAGCACCCACTCTGCGGACTCCGAAGCCTGGCCCACCGGTCACATCGCTGTCCTCAGCCCCACAGCATTTTCTATGTTGAAGGCTTAGCTACCAGGGGATGAGCTTTTGAGAAGAGTGGATCAGGAGGTCTCGGACTCTATCGAGTGCATTAATCCACAGAGGAGATCACAGTTTGACGGCATTGTTCAGAGTGATGGAAACGAGAGGTTGGGCCGGTAGGAGGAAGCGGGCGGATGTCTTTAAGGGTGCATCTTGTCCCTGGTCCTTTCCTCTCTGGTTCTCTCCCCTGCCCTGCTTCCCAGCTGCCATGAGCTGAGCAGCTTTGCTCCCTGACCCCCATCAGCCATGATGCTTTACTTTACCTCAGGCCTCAGCCATGGAGTCAGCTGACCATGGCCTGAACCTTCGGAAACCATGAGGCACAATGAACCTTTCTTCCTGTAACTTGTTTGTCTTAGGTATTTTGTTCATAAAGATGAAAAGCTACCAACACCGGGGGTCACAGCCCTGTGTTCTGGGTCCCTGAGCAGCACAGTTCAGGCGTGGATGAGGAGAAGCTGCTGAAATCAGGAAACAGGGAAAGCCTCTCCTCACATGAGAAGGAAACTGAGGTGCAGGAGATGCACTGGATTCTCACAACAACCGGGGCAGGAGGCAGCATTCAGGCCCAGGTCCACTGGCTCCAGTCCTTCTGCACAGGGGCGTGCCTGCTCTGTGGCCCCTGAGGTAGCCAGTGTGTCTCCCCACCTTGTGAGGGCACCATGAAGCTAGGGAAAGGGGTGCAGTGGGGCTGACCAGCTGGGGCCTGGATTCTGGCTCTGTTATTCCCCAGCTGTGTGACTAAAACCATTGCTCATTTCTCTGTGCCTCCATTTTCTCAGTTGTAAAATGGTTTAGTAACAGGAGCTTTCTCAGTACAGGACGGCTTAGAGGAGGGACTGAAGAAGGAAAGTTAGGAGAAGTTCCGCCTGGCCTCTCGCTGGTTTTCTTCAGGACATGAACTGCATTCTATCGGTATTTCACTTGTTTGAGTAGTTTGACAGCCCCCATCTCCTCCACCTGAACAACAGTTTCTCATTTTTCTGAATCCCAGCTGTCCTCCCAGGATCAGCCCTGGGCCAGGGACGCAGTAGGTGCTCAGTGAAATGTTGTCCACGACAGACTAAGTTATCAGGCACACAGCAGGGGTTCAGATCAGAGTGGCGACTTGTTAGCATTCTCCGAATGCCCCAGAAAATGACACTTGCCCCTGGGTGACCCTCTAGCACCTCTCCTGACCCCCGGAGCCCCTGCCTGCCCTCAGAACTGTCCTCAGCTCCTCACGGTAAGACCCTGAGTCGACCGCTCATCTTCCTGAAATGCAGTTTCTGGAACACCCGCATTCAGAGGAGTGCTGTCCCCGCAGCGGCCCCGGGCCACTCAACCCTCTGTGCCCTCAGAGCTTGTTCATCAGGCGCAGGAGCAAATCTCGAATACGCCAAAGCCCCTCAGCAGGCTGTCCTTCGCCTTCTTGGTGTCCTCCCTGATCCAAAGTCACGTAAGTGTCCTAGATGGACAGAGCCTGACTGCGGTTTTCATCTGTATGGCGCTGGTCTTCCTGTCTACCTGGGGACAGCCATCTTCTTGCCATCTAGGGCCACAGTTCAGCCTCCACGTGCAAGCCAGGCCCTACTCCCTGACAGCCCCTTGTCTCTTCTGCAGGAAGACACTTGGGACTTTACTGGGTTCTCCCCCGACCTGGCATCCAGTTAGTCACCTCATGCCCTGACCATCTCCTTAAGTAAGGATCCCTTTGGGCATGTGGGCCGCTAAACCCAACAATTCTGGCTTCTATGAAACACCCACTGTGTGTGACACCTGCTCTCAAGTTGTCTGGCCATGAGGGAGCACCCTCTTCCTTATTCTTGATGTGCCCAAGTTTTGGAGGTTACCAACCCAAGGAAGTCAAAGATATTGCTGTTCATATTATGCCTCAGGGTTTTTGCTCTTGCTACTCTCTGTCTGGAGGACTTTTCCCCCACACATTTGAATAGCATGGATATTGATTTTATATCTAGGTAAGATGATGACTGAGGTCTCTGTGATCTTAAAACTCTGTGACTCTGCCATCTGATTTTAAGTTTTATAGCTTAAGGATCAATTAAAGATCCTAAGACTCAGGAATATAAAATTCTGGGTTACTATGACTATCAGATGCTAAGCTGCTGGCCCTCTCATGGGTGGCCCTGGGTTGCTGGATATACTCCCAAGAAAATGTCTCAACCCAAGGGAGACAGTTCACTTTACACTGGGTCCCCAGCCAACTCTGCAATACAACCTATGGAGGTAGCATTTTGTATGGCTTTGATGCTGAATTTATGCTGCATTTCTAGCCACATATGCTCACCTTATCGGTGTGCTTGGTCTCCAGAATAAATAGCGGGTGACACCAGATCTTTGGAGACTTTTTTATGTGTAAAGAGAGACACTATCTTCTAGGCCCGCACTTTGACATGGGGCACTATCCCTGCACTCGCTCACTCCACATGGGGCTTGTGATTGGGCTACAGTGAGCCCAGAAGAGAGAGGAGGCCCCTCTTGCCTGCCCTAGGGACTGTGGGGGGCCTATCTCTGCAGAGACTCTGTGTGTGCTGAGGGGGATACAAGGCCATCTCCCGGTGGGTCTGGAGGGAAGAACCCTTCCTGTTGATGGTTTATCACTCCCAAGAACCCTAGAAAGGGTTTGTTAATTACCTGAAGCACAAATATAGCCAGAAGGTAGAAATCCAGAAATCTTCGAGCCCTCTTCATGCTGCCACACTCATGCTTGTGGGAATTGATGGAGAAGATGCTGGGAAGCCACGATTGGGAAAGGTCCCCTCCACTCGCTGATGGCAATCACACCGTCTTGCAGACTGTCCTCCTTTATGTCATGCGAGCACACTGTTCACCTTGAGTCGCCCTGTAATGTTAATTAACATGGGTTGCTTGTAAAGGATGATGTGTAGGCCCCATGCAATTAATCACAATAATACAGGAGGAGAACCAGCTTCTTACCAACCCAGTAATCTTGTAAGCTTTCTGGGAACGTCTTTCTGCCCTCTGCACTGGCGGCCTTAAAAGATGTTGTCCAGTTTTAAGGCTTTGCAAACTATTAAAAATTGATAGAAAGTTTAAATTAATTGGCCAAAGTGAGGGGTAAAATCAACCCAGTCCAAGAGCTCTGTAGCCTGGTTGAGGCAAGATATTGCAATGGGGAACATCCTAGAAAGAAATCACCAAGCATGCAGACATCCTCTGGGGTCATCACTCTCCCATCTGGGCTGGGGTAAGCTCACCTATATCAGGGCCTCAGCCTCTACTCTGGTTGTTTTTAATCTTCCCTCTACCCTGGCCATTGAAAAAGGTCTTCCTAAAAAAAGCCCATCCTCATCAACAATCCGCAGTGGGTCCCCATTTCCTCAAAGTGCCAGAGCCTGGCATTTGAGCATCTCAGGGTGTGGCCTGGCCTCTTTTCCCAGCCTACCTCCAACCACCCACTATCCTTAGCTCTGGCCACACTGAGGAATTGTCCCATCTTCCTGAACAGAGTTTTCCAGGGCGTGCAGGCTTATGCACATTTCTGCCTTTCGCAACCCCCTTAATCCTCTGGCTGGTTTGCTCTTGCCATGAAAACCCAGCATGCCTTGTTTCCTCTCAGGAGCCCTCTCAGATAACCCACACCAGTCCTTCTCATAAGGCCTATGTCGACTCTCAGTTGCTGTAGTAATACTGCCTAATCCAGACCTCATGACTAACATCACAATACATCTTTCCCTTGCTTCTTCGGGGTCAGTGCAGTGCAGCTTGGCCGGGCAGCTCTGCTGAACTTGGCTAGACCCAGTCACCCATCAAGGGTGTTCTACGACTGCTGTCTGAAGTCACTGACCTTGGCTGTTGTAACTGACCTCAGCAGGGAGACAGGATCCACTTGGTTGTGCTCCGTGAGTCTCATCTTCCAGAAAGCAGACAGTGGTAGAGGTGCAGGAGTCAGCCTGAGTGTGCCACCTTGGGTCACATCTGCAGACAGCCCACTGCCCAAAGTGAGTTAGATGGGAAGCCCCAAGATTTTGATCAGGGGTGAGACAGGTCACCACCCACAGTGCTACAAAGTCTTACACAGCAAAGGTGCTAATACAGAGAGGATGAGGATGCACTTTAGCCCACTTCAGCTTTCATCTTCCAAAGCTCTCAAGATAACAGAAACCTAGTGACCTTTCGACTTTATAAATAGCTTTATTGCCTTATCACTGACACACAATAAACTATATAGCTTATGTGTCAAATTGGTAAGTCTGGCACGTGTGTGTATATCCGTGAAATTACAGCTGCAATCTGGAGAGTAAACACGGCCGTGACCCCCATGCATTTCCCGATGCCCCTTGGCCATCTCCTCCTCTCATCACTGCCACCTCACCTCCCTCCCCTGCACTGGGCTACAGTCTGCTTCCTGATACCATCGATGGATTACTTTTTGTTTTCTGCAGGCTACCTAACAGGCTCATGCAGTGCATGCCTTTGTCTGGCTTCTTTCACTCTATGCCCTTCCAGTGAGAACCACCACCGTCGCCGTAAACATGTCACATGCCTTCTCCTTGCTGCCCAGCCTTTCACTGCGTGCCTCTGTCACATGGCTCACCTGCCGATGGGTATTCAGATTGTTTCCAGTCTATGGCTCTTATAAATGTGTGCACACTTTTGTATGGTTATGTGCTGTGTTCTCTGCTGTATAAATACTTCTAGAATGACCAGATCAAGTGGCCAAACTGCTACACCATTTACCAAAGCTTCCAAACACATTGCTGCTTTTGCCCGAGCAATCAATGATTGGTAAGAACGTGCCAGGGTCTGATCTACCCCCTCGATTAAAAACAAAACAAAACAAAACAAAAAAACAGAAACAAAAATATAACAAGGAAAGTAGCTTGTAAAGCCACATCAAGTCTGTCTTCCTTTCTCATCCTTTCCCTGATTTTATAGGAATATTATCATGAAAATCATGGTCACGGCAGAGACGGCAGTGGAAAATGGGAGGGGGATTAGGTCTACAAGAATGTGCACCCAGTGGCTTCCAGAGGATCATTTTGCTGATCCAAGATCGCCCCCTAATGGCCCAGGCTTCTTCAGCTGCTGATTGGGGCTCTTGAGGCACTAGAAGAGAGACAAATGGAAATGTCCACTCCAGCTCTCAAGTTTCAGATGAGCACAAGTGTCTTCATTCGCTGGGCAAATATCTCAGTGGAGATGAATGGAAATAGATTGGCAATCAAGAAGAGTAAATTCCCACTCCGGCTCCTCTGGACATGCACATGGGCACACATGCACGCATGCATGCGCACACACACACACACACACGCCCTCCACCAGCCATGCCTCAGGCTTCTTGAGAGGCACAGCCTTTAGTTTGAAAACACCTGGAACCGCGAGTAGAGGGAATTCCCCACGCCCCAGGGTGGCGTGGCCAGAGTCTTCCTGGGTTGGATCTGATCTGTATCCTCTAGATTGGTTCCCTGTCTGGCCTGCTGCTACCTCTGGCCTTCCTCTGTCCGTGGCGCCCAAGCCTGGGAACCTGCCAGCCTCCTCCACTCCCTGCAGGGCCACAACGAGGAGGCTGATACTGCTACTGAAGCTCCAGGAGGTTGGGACATATGCAGGGATCTCAGCACCAGACAGAGGATAGACACCCTTGCCCAGACTGCTCGAGATCTCCCTGGCTGGCCACTCCTCCTTTGGTCCCTGACCTGCTGCTTGGCATTGACCACCTCTCCTAACCGCTTCACCATCCTCTAAAGGCCAGAATCCTGTGCCCCTCTCTGGGCTGTCAGGATACACCCCGACTACCTGTGGCCGACACCAATTCTTAGCCGTGCCCTGCACAAGCCTGATGGCTCAACAACATCTTTCTGTTCCCAGGCAAACAGCTCTTGGCCTTTCCTTGATGACACCAACCTAAACAGCAGAAAGAGGCTCTAAAACATAGAGGTCAGAGTCTGGCTCCAACCCCAACTCCTCTAACTAGTTCCTGGTGGATTTTGGACGAGTTCTTTAATTGCTTGGTGTCTCTGCTTTTCCACTTACAAAAGGGAAAAACTGAAGCTCATACCATGCTGTTTGGGGGAGGGTGAAGTGATCTAAAACTTATTTTTTGTGGTGCTGGAGATCAAACCCAAGGCTTTTTGCCTGCTAGGCAAATACTACCACTGCATTACTCCTACAGCCCCGTGATTTAAAGCCATTAATGGGTTTACAATAGTGCCTGACACATACCAAATGTTCAGTTAATGTTAATAAACACCCCTCCCACTCCCCCACAGACAGCTCGCTCTGAGATGAATCCAAGCCCAACCTCCCTGCTGTGCCAGTGGGCAACATTCATAGGGGTGCAAAAGATGGATGCCTGCTCCCCCGCCCCATCTAGGAAGGTCCAGAGGTCCAGGGAAATGGGGTGCCCTGAAGGGCTGTAGTGTTACCGAGGGAGGTGGTAGCCGAGGAGGGGAGATAGGGGCAAGCAAGGGGTCCCACAGCTGGGGACTGTTCTTTGGAGATCTGAATCTATGCAAACTCTTTAGAACCCTGGACACGGTCAGTGATGGAGTGAATAAAGGTACCTGACCCACTCACTTGTCGAGGAGAAGAGGAGGAGGCAGTGGCTTTTCCGTGGAAATACAAAAGATAGAAATTCTCTAGATAAAATGTGCAAGGAGGTGGGAGAGGGGCCATCAGATCAAAGGACCAGTGTGTGTAAGGGTTGGCAATGAGAAGTGTGACCCACGTGACTCACAGTTGCATGGAGCCCTGGGGCCTAAGGGTGGTGACTGAGGTCTAGAGCAAAGCCAGACAAGTGGTTGTGGTCCAGTGAAACAAGATCCTGAGTTCTTCATCCTCAGATTAGAAGGTCCTCACGGAGGGTAGGTGACCCTAGTCCATCATCTCCTGCCTAGACAGGGTTTCCATACATCCCAGTGGGAATCACACCTTCCAATAATTCCAGCAACTGGATCCTGTTCCCATGACCTGCAGGACAGATGCACAAGAAAGTGATAATCCTGAAGAAAGAAGGCGCACAAGCCAAAAAGCCCAGGGATACAGGATTGCTGCTTCCTGCTTGCTCTGGTTTGTCCTCTATGATGTCAGCGCATGAGGATCTGGAGGGCAGGGCTCTGGAATCACTGAACCTCAGCAGCTTGGTTTATCTCCCCAGGAGACAGAGAGCAGAGTGGAGATGTGCAAGCATGTTCACACCTCCTAATGCTGGGTGCAGATGCTCCTGAGAGGCCAGCCGGTGCTGAGACTGTTCATTGACAAATCCGTCTGGTTTTTAAAGGCCAGCATTCCCAAATTGGATTCAGAGGAACACAAGATCTGGGTGGTGATACTGGGTGTTTCAGGAACAAAGGGTTTTTTTTTGTGAAGTTGGAGGGATACTATACACAACAGACAAGGTTCTGGACCCCAGGAAATTTGATAAAAATGCCAACACTGGCCAAGAAAATTCCAAGGCATCAAGTCAGCTGTCACAATCCTTCCCTACAAGAAAAGAAGGGTAAGGGCCAGGGATTTAGCTCAGTGGTTCGGTGGCCTTCCTTGTAAGCGCAAGGACCCGAGTTCAATCCCCAGTACCAAAAAAAAAAAGAAAGGTAAACCAAAAGTAAGAATGACACAATTTTATGGTAAAAGGTCTTTTCAAGAAAGGAAAGTTGGCAACTTTATAGTGACATGTTACAGTGCCTTTATTTTTCTAATTACACTGTGAGCCTGTTGCACTTTCAGCCCAGGCTGTATGGCCATGGCCCCAGTCAGGACTGGGGACATGATTGCTTGTGACTCCACTGAAGTGTACAGGATCAGCATGAGTGCCTTCCTCACAGGCTGCATTTGATTGCCCTCTACCAAAGTCCAAATCTCCTGTAATGGCCTGAATGTTTGTGTCCCCTAAAGTTAGAGGCTGAAATCCTAACCTCTAAGATGATGGAACGAGGAGATGGGGCCTTGGGGAGGTAAGTTGGGAAGATGGAGCCCTCATGAATGGGACTAATGCCTTTGTGCAAGGAAACTCAGGGAGCTCCCTCTTTCCTTTGGCCACATAAGGACTCAGCTGTGGAAAGACGGAAAGCACACTCTCACTAGAGACTGGATCTGTCAGCACTCGGTCTGGATTTCTCAGCTTCTAGAACTGTGAGAAATGTTTCCATTGTTGAAATGTCACTCACTTTGTAGGATAATTTGCTATAGCAGCACAAACAGAAAAGATATCTTCTGCCCAACTTGCCCTCTCTTGTGTGGCTCAAGCCTGGAATTCTGGGCCCAGTTGACATGGGCCTAAGGTCTGTGTGGGTCAAGGTAGAACTAAAGAGTATTAGCTGCAGCTCAGAAGAATGTGTCCTGGCCCCTGTCTGCAACCAAACACTGCACGACCTTAGATGGATCATGGATTCCCCCTTGGCCTCAGTTTCTTGAACTTTATTATCAAGGGACTAGGCCGGATGACAGATGACCCCCTAGTTCCTCTGTACCCTGGTAGAAGAATCTAGGGAGGCCTTGTGCAGATGGTCAGAAGACTGGTGCTCATTCTACTGTAATGTTCTGATCTTGGGAGGTGAGAACAGAAGATAAACATTAGCCAGACTACGAACCAGGGGCACCACAACTGGAAAGCAAAGATCCTACTCCATGCTGGTCATCATGGCCAGTTGCAGGGAGCTTTAGTCTCAGAGTGAGCTGAGCAAGATACATTCTTACCCAAAGTTCGCATTCCCTCCTCCTATATGTGGGTCATAGGGTTAACTAAGCCAGGGAGGAGGGAAACCCCCTAGCTGACAGAGCTCCGGAGGAAGAGGGACTGACACTTGAGAGCAAGTCGGTGCTCTATGGCTATCCTTAGTCATCATCATCAGAATAACAGCTATGAATCAGCACAAGCCCCTCCACTTCAGCCCCTCTCCGGTTCTTGGTTCTTGGGAACATAGCAAGCCTGTGGCCCAGCACACAGTAGGTGATCATTCTGGCTGGGCTGACTAACCCAGCGGCTACCACTAATATCTATTTTTGCTCTTGCTGAAACAGCGTCTCCTCACATTTCTGCAGTTCACAGCCCAGCTCCCAGCAAACTTCTAAGAGTGAGATTAAAGGAAAAAGTGGATAAGGCTGCTCACATCCCCAGGACAGAAGTGTCATTCCTAAAGGCCCACCTGCTGTGAGCAGGAGGCGCCCCTCCTGTTACCAAGGCCACTTGGCATCTTTATGCCCGGAGCCCAGCATAAAGCAGGCATTTCTGAGAAGCCTAGAATAAATCCTGCCTACACATCCCTGTCCTTTTCAGGCACCTCTCAGGTCCCAACAGTGACAACTGCTCTGTTTCCATCAAGGTCCAGCTGTTTTAATAGAGACTTTAAATAACTCCCTGGGCTGCGGAGAAATTTATGTCCCGCTGAGACACATGTACTGTGAATAGATGCTTGTGAGAGGTTCAAGGCCAGGTGGCTGTTGGACAATAACCAGGAAGAAACTTCCCTGTCTTTCTATGCTCCTGTGTTAGTTTCCAATGACGGGGCAGGTGTCACCACGGAGTGCCAAGCCATGAGCCGGGCCTGGGCAGAGAGAGAAAAACCAGTCATGTTCCCGTGTTTCAGGAGGTCATGGTCGGATGGGTGAGGCAGGCCCGCCAGCAACACAAGCCACTCATCCTCGAAGTGCCAGACTAGAGGTCACAGCAATGGCTTAGGTGATTTTCCTGGTTTACCTTGTACATTAACATTGTATCTCCTGCTCAGCACCCACTCCGCAGGCCCCATTCCTCTCCCTGATTTTAAAAAGTCTGCCCCCCGCCCACCATTTACCCTCTGTCTCAGTGCTATGGCCAGGATGATGCCGCGGCCCAGTTGGAGGAAGTGTCATTGGGGTCATACCCTTGAAGAGTATATGTTGTCCCCAGGCCCCTCCCTCCCTTCTCTGTTTCCTGGCTGCTACGATGTAGACAGTTTTGCTCCTATTGTGCTCCCTACTGTCCCTGTCCAGCTGGTGGGTTCTTCTTTCAACCCGGAAAGAATGACAAGTTGTAGGCAGTATTTGCAGGAGAAACGGATTTAACGCAGGACATAGAAATTTACGAGATTAGCTGACAATATCCACCCAGAGTCAAGGGTAGAAGAGTGCAAGAGATTTTTCCACTCACGAGAGATGCAGCGAATCCAGCTGAAGGCCTGGTGTGCACAGCAACATTCCATGCAAGTCGCTCTCAGGAGGTCGCAGAATCTGTGACAGAAGACTGAAGGGTCTGCTCCTGAAAGCCCAAGGGCTGGTGTGAGAGGCTACAGAGTCTGCACCAGAAGCCGGAAGACAGATTCTGGAAGCTGAAAAACCTGTGCCGAAAGCCAAGAGGTGACTCTCAAGGTGAAGGCAGGCGAAAACCAGCGCTCTTCCAAAGAGAACAGCAGCCACCCTTAGCTAGGCGAAGACCAGAGCTCAGCCAAAGAGAACAGCTGAAGCCCTTCCAAAGAAAAGCAGCTGGAATGAAGCTCTTCCAAGGAAAATCAGCTGAAACCCTTCCCTTCTGTTCTCCTTTTATGCTGTTCTACCAACAATCTTCCTTAAAATGGGTCTTCCATGGCCAGAACCATGCTGATTGCATTCAGCTGGTCCTTCCTCACTCAAGTTGACAATTAATTAATTAACCACCATGGGAGTCAAAAGAAGATTGAGCAAAAGTATTTATTGCAGAGCAAAAGCAGAAAGCAGCATTTATTGTAAATGGGAAGTAAACTCCCAGGCAAACGAATCTGGAAGGAGGCCCCAAAAGGGTTGCCAAAGGGACTCTTTTGTCTGAGGTTTTTTTTTTGCACCCCCAATGTGATTACATCTCAGCCAAGCTGAGATCTAGCTATAGGGTAACAACCAGGAAAGGCTGATGTAGGAATGGTCCTATAGGAGCTCAGGGTGCTTTTGTAGCAATGTACTTTTGTAAGCACCAATAATTGTAAACAGAACAAAGTCTTTCCTTGGAGAGGTATAAATATCTTATTTTTCAGCACGAAAACCCCACCAATCTAATGAGGCCTTTGTTCACTGTCCTGGCTTTGGTAATCCACGCATCCTTCACCAAATCTTTTCAACTCCCTGTTTGGCTCAGTCTCCTTCAGGAGCCCTGGCTTCCTGACCCATCTGTGGACCTCCCTTTGCCAGAACACTGCCCACACTCCTTTCTCTTTATGGACCAGTTTTACACTGACAAATCATCTTACCTTCTCACAGGGCCCTGGTCATCCTTAACAGCTACTGTTAGGAGCCCTTGTTACATTAGGAAAGAACACTTGAACCTTAGAAAACAGGACCCAACCATGCTGGCACAGAGGGCTCCCAGTCCATTCTCTCCAAGTCTCTTGTTACCTACCTAGTTCACCTACCATGATATTCTGTCTCATCACAGATCTAAAAGCAATGGAGCCAGCTGACCATGGACTGCAACCTCTGAAACCACAAGCCAAAATAAACCTGTCCTCCTTGTAAGATATCTAGGTGTTTGTCACGGTGACAGGAAACTAACATATTCCCATTGGAAATGGTGAGCTTTAACAAAGATCATATCTTAACTTTTACCATAGGACATTGACATGCATGTGTGGATTAATGAATTCAAATATGTCATTTTACATGGAGTAAAAGGAATACAGGAGAAGTGAAGTGAGTTGTTCAGAGCATGGCAGAGCAAGCTAAAACCCAAGCCTTTTTTCCAGCCCAAGCAATTTTTAACCCCCAGATCTTTAGGCCGCTGTGCCTGGAGTTCTCCAGGTGGTTCAAGGTCTTCCTGGGGCAGACCCACACTCTAGCCTTTCTCCAGAGCTGGTAGAGCTGGGTTCGGGTCCTGGTGGGAGGCAGTTCCTAGGTAGAGGGTGGTGGGGAGGAAGGAGCGGAGCACTGGGAATGTCCTGGTCTCTTGGTTTGGGCCAGGTGCTCCTGAATAGAAACAAGGGTGGCGATGTCCTGTACATCTGCTGTAAGGGGACCAAGGGGACCGCACTCTCACAAGTGGCTCTGATGAAGCCATTAGACCATATTCCACCATCCAACCAGCCCTGTCTGCCACCCTGACAATCCTGCGAAATGTTCCATAAGCCTGAGAACTGTGCAGCCCATGGCCCTGTGATTTTCCTTGCAGATTCCTGGGTGAGCAGCATCCTGTGGAGGTAAGAATCCCCCATTATGTCCGCAGCTGGGGAAATTAGTCCCTTTCATGTCCCTGTTCTGCCTGTGACACCCTTTTCCCTATAATGAGGTTACAGAAGCAAAACAACCTTGCATGGGCCTGAAAATATACATCAGCTCAGCTGCAGGGGGTGACTGGGGATTATTTTGGGAGCTAGATGCCTGTGTGGGCAGGAGACATATCCGTTCTCTGCAGAACATCCTGCCAGACACAGGCCCGGAAGCTGAGTTGGCAGTCCTGATCTGCCCGCACTTGTACTCCCTGTGGCTGGCGTTTAGCAGTGCCATGGGAAGGCATAAGACCCTGAGGTTGGCACCAGCCATCTGGGGATAGCAGATAGTGCCTCCGTAAGTACTGTACCCAGGCGCCTCAGTTTCTTGACCCTGGAGCTAGCTCTCTCGTAGAGACATATTCCCCATCCCCTGAGCACAGAGACCTGGAGGCCTGCGGTATCATAGCATTCATTTATGATTTACCACATTGAGCACCTACTATGTGATAGCCACTTTATTAGGGGAAACACTGGTGAGGAAAACCATGGGCCCACCGTACAGGGCTCACAGAAACTACTCTAGAAGCACACAGAGCAGTAGACACAGTGTCCTGCGAGAGGACAGGAAGAGTCATTTCAAGGCAGACCAGGAAATGTCCCTGAGGATGTGAGCACAGAATAAACTCGAACTACCAGGGGATCTTGGGGCTGCAGGAGAGTGCTCTGATCGGGCAGCAGCATACACAAAAGGCCAGTAGCCTGACACTGCTGGGCACAAATACTCCCAAGGCCTGCGTGTTTGGAGGGCAGGGGGTGGATGGTTTCTAGGAAAAGGAGAGAAACAGGACTATTCAAGGAGGATTTCAAAGGCTACTTTAAGATTTGAGGCCCTCGTCCCAACAGCCGCTGGGAAACAAGTAGTGGGCAGAGATCAGGTGGCAAGTTGGGGTCAAATCTGTATTTCCATATTTTCCCTCTGACCACAGCAAGGGGAGCGGTGCGGGAGGGGCTGCGGGACCTGCAGGTAGGAGGTGGGCTTGCACAGGTGGGGAGGGCGGCTTCCGGGAGGAGCGGTAATGACAAGCACCTACGAATGCATGGCCTACCTGTCTGCCTTCTTCCTTTCCCTACCTTCCTCCCTACGCAGTGACCCATGGTGCCTTTCAGGGTGGGTTGCCACATCTGTTCCATTTACCCTCAACTCTTACTGCCCAGGTCAGTGTGCTTCTCTGTCTCTACTGCTTCTTGAAAGCTCTGAACAACCAAGGCCAGAGAAACTCAGTGTCTAGGATCCCGAGAAGGAGGCTCCTGGGATGGAGGGAAACCTCCGGCATCAGGAGGAGAAAGACTTTTCAAAAAGAAAGAGGCAGAGGGATGCCTGGACACAGGCTGCCTGGGTAGGCAGCTGATCTCAGGCACCAGATCCAGCTTTGTTGTCAAAAGGTAGGGCTGGAGCTCGACTTATTTATCCATTCAATAACCACAACCTTGAGATAAAGTCCTCCTGCCATACCCAACCCTGGTGCTGCCTTCTCCTAGCCAGGCCCATCTACTCTTTAACGCTTAGCAGGGGCCTCCTCCAGAAAGCCCTTCCTGATTCCCAGTGTTAGTCACCCCTCCAGCACACACACACACACACACACACACACACACACACACACACACATTGTGCTCTTACTATGCCCTAGGTGTGGCTCTGAATTGTCATGGCTGACTTCTGGCTCTCTCTGGCCCAGGGTCTAACAGAGAAGAAAGTGTCTTCTCCTTGGGGTCTTAGAGGCTCCAGGAAGACAGGACAGGGCTGCGAGTGTTTGTGTGTGTGTGTGTGTTTTCACTTTGCTGTTTCTTAGAACACTGAAGGGTGCACAGCTGGGTCAAACATCCCAGGTAAAAGGAGAAGGCCAGGGAGAGAGCGAGTTAGCGGGGAGGGGACAGGGTCTTCAGGCATAGAGCTAGGGCAGGGCTGGGAAAGGAAAGTACAGATTCAGCGGCTGTGAGAAGAGAAGCAGAAAGACTTGAGCATTAATGATGGCACCGATGCCATTAACAACAGTCACTCAGCCACCTATGACATCAACGGCAGTCATCTGGTCACCTGGTCACCTATGACATTTTGTGCAACCGAAAATGACAATGCAGCCAGGTGGACTGCTGAGCAAGGCACAACTGGCTCTCAGGAGAGCTTTCTGGAGGGAGACATTTCCTACGAGGCGTGTTCCGGGCTGAGCCACGTCTAAACCCGATTCCACAGCCAGAGAGAGGCTTTCCCGGTACACCGCTCAGCCTGGAAGAGGAAGCAGAGGCCTAAGCAAAGATGGTCTGGGTATCTGCTCCACCCTCTGAGAGACCTTGGACAAGTCTCTTAAACTCTCTGAACTTCAGCCCGGCCTTGGGAAGGGGCTGACAGTGGAAGACCTTGGCTCTGTGCTCCAGCCAGCTGTGTTCAAATTCAAGCTGCACTCAGCTCTAGACCTTGCCGCTCCCAAAGGTGACAGCCCCATCAAGGGGCGCCTGTCGACGCTTGTGCCCCGCCCGAGCTTTAACAAGGGATCACGGTGGGGAGTGAGTGCCGATAGGTTTGAGAAACCCTGTCAGGCAGGCAGGGCAGGCCCGGGTACTAGAGTCCTGCAGGAGGACAGAGGGATGAGGAGACTGTCTTTCCCTTGAGGGGCAGCTTCTGCTCACAGGCAGGTCTCTGCGTGGAAAATACTGAACACCTTGACAAACACTCTTCCTTTTTTTCTCTCCTGTTTTATCCTCTCCCTTATTACCTTTCCGCTAACCTTCCCACTTTCCCTACATCTTTAGCCCTTTTCTTCCCATTTCACAATGTCAGTTATCTCATCAGGATCTTATGTACTATTACAGTTTGTTCACACCAGAGAAACTCTTCGGTATTTACACATGTGTGACTTATTTATTTCACTTAGGAGTATATCCTCAATAGGCATCCATTTTCCTACGAATGAATCTAATTTCTCATTCTTTATGGCTGAGTAGTACTCCATTTTATAGAAAAACCACATCTTCCTTATCCAGTTTCCAACTGATGGGCAGATGGGCTGTTTCCAAGTTACACTCTCCCTGACTGGGCGACTCGCTCATAGTTCCATGTGTCTGAGGCCATTGTGGTGTCCCCTGTAGAGCAGGGACAATCAGTGCCCAAGCCTGGGTTTGAGGGTTTGGTGAGATGACATGCATGCAGCTGGGAGCAGGTGTCCAGAGCCCTCCTCTCCGAAGCTCCCTCAGGCTCTTCAGATGCCTCCTGCAGAGCCTCTCCCTCCCCCTCCTGCTGTGGCCCCTGCTCCCAGGT